TTCTCAGTGATCATCATGTTTTGTAAAAAAGAAGCTTTTTTGATGAGGGGGTGAGAGCTACATTTATCTGTGAGTTTAAGGATAAGTATGAGAATACAGTTAGAAATTGTATTGGTTTAGGGAAATTAAGCCTTCAAACCTCAACAATGGTTGGCCCAGCAAGATATCCCTAATGATGCAATAATGACACTTTTATCTTGTGAGTAATCAGTAACTGTCTAATTGGACTTAAGGCCCACATAAAAGGGGAGAATTCACATCGGTACTTTAAATATAACCAACTATCTGTGGCTGGAGATTCATAGACCATGGAGGAGGACCTACTAAATAATTTTTTTTAGAGTTTTTTTATTTAATCATGAAAACATGTTGAATTTTGTTAAATAATTTTCCTGTATGTGTGGAGACTATCATTTAACTTTTGGTGCTATTAGTTGTTTTTGGTTTTTGAGACAGGGTCTTACTGTCTAGTTTACACTGGCCTTAGTGTCTTGATCTTCCTGTCTCAGTCTCTTGAATGCTAGGATTACATGTGTGTACCAACACACCTGATTTCATTTGAATTTTTTATCCTTTGTTCTGTTAATGCATAGCACATTTATTAGTTTGCATATATTAACCATCCTTGCTTCCCTGAATGAAGTCTTGCTTGATCATAATGTGTATCCTTTACATATGCTGTTGAATTCAGTTTAGTAGCATTTTGTTAAAGATTTTTGTATCTGTTTATCAGGAATATTAGCCTGTAATTCCTTTTTTTCTTATGTATCTTTGTCCTAAAATGTTTTGGAAAAACTCTTCCTTTTCTCCTTATCTTATAATTGATTAATTCAAATATTCTGTTTCTTCTTGATGTGGTCTTGGTGAGCTTTATGTTTCTAGAATCTTAACCATTTCTTCTAGATTTTCCAATTTGTCGGATTCACAGTAGTCTCTTATCCCTTGTATTTCTGTCATTCAATTCTAACTTCTGATTTGTTTGATGTCTTTTTATAGTTTAAAAGTTTTTATTTATCATTTCAAAATAATTTAATCACTTTATTGCTCTTTATAAAGTTTCTAGTGTACTTCATTTATTTATATCCTGACAGTTGTTATTTCCTCACTTTTATTAACTTCGTGCTTCATTGTTTTTTTCTATTTCCTGAGGTACGCAGTTAGGTAGTTCGATGTCTTTCTGTTTTCCTAAATGTAGGTATTGTTCACTATAAATTTTCTACTGGGTCTTTTTCCCTGGTACTGGGATTAATATTGGAGTGCATATGAATATTATACTTTAAAAAGTCACATAACAATATTATGATTCTTTATTTCTTGTTGGATATTGATTTTTATAGATATTGATAATTTGGAAAAATATAATTGAGTCTCAGGAACAGATAATCATGAGTTTTCTGGGTCCTTTAAGTACATTAAATGGGAAAGGTTTGTCAAAATTAATAATCTGAGAACTAGTATATAGAATTTTTGGATATCGTATTTTGGTTGTTAATAATCTTAAGAGTTTTCACATTTATTTTTTACTTTGTCATCATAGCATATGCCATAGAATTCAGGAATTGTCTAACACCTAGATTCTTAATTGTCAGATCATCCTTCTAGCCACTAAACTAATATGCCATAGATAAGTTAGACATTAAAAATAAACAAGTCAGTAGTATTTTTAAGATGGTACTACTTGGGGAACACTTTAAATGCTCTCTGGTCATCCTTTAAGTAAACATAAAGAAAATATCCTACTAATATACTTTTAAATGAATCACGGGAGTATTATAAGTAAATGTTCATCACATTCATGTAATCTTTAACTAGGTGAAGAATAGAGGGAGTTTGCGAGCACTTTAGAATTTTGTGCATTTCCAAAGATCCATCCAGGAAGAAAATAGTCAGAGGAGGGATACTGTCCAAAGACAATATGGTTGTCTGCTTACCTGTTCCCTGACTTAGAAACATTAACTGAATTCAGTGTAAGCCCATTATTATGCAAATGGTCCTTTAGGGAGATTAAAAACAAGTTTGCTGTATCTGCTGCCATAAGCAAGGAACCAGAGAAGAGGCCTCTATGTCTTTTGGTCGCTTGCTTCTGTTTTCAGAAATGCCACACTGTTTGCACAGTTGAGGAGACCCCTTCCAGGTCATGCCTTTTCTTATGAAAGCGAATGTTTGATAGTGAAGATGTTCGAATGAAGGTCTGAAAAGGTGGTAAAGCCAGTTGGCAGCAGTATTTCTTCCTGGATCGTAGCAGCTTTCAGAAAGATGGTGGCACCATTTGTTCAGATGAGCATGGGTTCAGTTTGTTTGTTTCTTTTTATTTTTCTTTTTATTTGTTTTTATTTTGAGATAGGGTCCTTAGTAGCCCTGGTTGGCTTGGTGCTCTTTTAACTACTATGTAATCTAGACTAGCCTTGAACTCTTGGTAATTCTGCCTCAGCCTCTTGAGTGGTGGAATTCTAGACATGTACCACCATTCTCTGTGAGTATGGTGTGTGTGTGTGTGTGTGTGTGTATGTATATGTATACCTGAGGTTGACTTAAGGTGTCCTCCTCTATCTATTGACACCTTATGACCCTGAAGCTCACTCTGATCTGGCTAGACTGGCCAGTGAGCTCCAGGAATCTATCTCTACCCCTAGTTTTGGGGTTGCAGACTTGCCTGTGGGTGCTGGCAATCCAAACTCAGGCATTCATGCTTGTATAAGCAGCAGTTTATCTACTAAGCTATCTCCCTACTCCTTGGGTATGGGTTCTTAATTATCTCTTTATTAAATTTTATCTAGTACACATTACATTCAGTCACTGTTTTAGATATGCTGTGGATACCAAAAGAGATAGGTTTTATTCTCATAGAGTTTATGTATTTCATTTATGACTGTGTTGTTAACTGTTCAGAAGTGTCTAAGATTACCATATTATGGAATAAGTGAATATAGTAAGAAGTTTGTTTATACACTCCCAAATTACTTGACTTAGAATTTATAGTCTGGATTATGATACTTGTTATTAGAATGATCCATGAAGCTTTAAGAAAAATTCTTAGAGCTGGGGTTGCGGGGCAGGAATGGTGTGTGCCTTTCCTCCCAGCCCTTGGGAGGCAAAGGCAGGCGGATATTTGTGAGATTGAGGCCAGCCTGGGCTCCATATTGAGTTCCAGACAGGCTGGGATTAGGGAGACCATGTCAAAAAACAAAACACACACACACACACACACACACACATATTTAAAAAAAAACATTAGCAATTTTTACTCATAAATGTTTGGGAAAATTGCTTTAAAATCATTTTCTTAATGAAATATTTTTAAATTGACTAATTAGTGACTTAAATTGTTTCTGTAAACAGATTACTTTTGAGGGCTGGGGAGACAGAACAATTAGTAAAATGCTGTCTTGCAAGCATGAGGACCTGAGTTTTATCTCCAGAACCCACATAAGAAAGCTGGACTCTGTGGTGTAATCCCAACACAGGGAGGTGGAGACAGAAGGATCCTTGGGGCTCCCTGGTTAGGCAGTCTAGCCAGTTTGGTGGCCTTCTGGCCAATGACTACTGCCTTGTCAAAGGACAAGGATGGCCTTCCTAAGGATAATACTTAAAGCTATCTTCTGGCCTCCTTAGGCATGTACACACATACATACTCACTGGCAGCCACACATATTCTCTTACAATGGACACACATATATACTTGGATGTTACTTTTTAAAGGCAGACTGTATTTTTAAATGTATATCCAGATTTTTAGCTGTAAAGTTTCTGATACCTACCTGTATCCTATGTATCCTGTATTAATGATTAGTATATGACATAGACCAATAGTTGCATTGTGGCTGAAGTCTTATAAATTCAATTTTTTCCAACAAGGTCCATTAAAAATGATAAATTCTGACTCATGATACATTTAATTGCCTCTTACTCAACTCTATCCCTTTATTATAGGTACTATTACTAATAAATATGACACAATCCATAAAGTGTCCTGTTTTATTGTTTAAAAGAGAGGGGATGTTCAACATGAAGATACTAGGTTACATTCTAAATTTTTATGTGTTTATCAAAATTGGGAATAGAAAAGGCTTGATACTCTTATGTGAATGTATATATGTATTAAGTAGGTAGACATGACTGCGTTTTGATTATGGGTTTAAGGAAGGAGAAAATTCTGGGAAGAAACTTGTTAACCTGTGAGTGATGAACTCTTTCAGATAATCATTTTATGAATTTATTTATTTACTTTTGGGGGGGGGGTGGTTGGCACTCTCACTGTGTAGCCCTGACCTTGCTGGCTTGGAGTTCACTGTCTAGATCAGGCTGTCTTGCCACTCGTAGTAATCTTCCAGCCTCTGTCTTCTTAGTGCTGGAAACATAGGTGTGAGCCACCAGGCCTGGAGTATTAAATATTTTAATTTTATTTTTAAAATTTTAAACTATTACTTGTGTGTATATGATACATGTGTGCGACTGTGTGAGCCATGGTGTGTTTGTTGAGGTTAGAGGACAACTTTGTGTAGTCAGTTACCTCCTTCTGTCTTTAATGTGGGTTCTGGGATTGATTTCAGGTCATCAGGCTCTTGCAGCAGGTGTCATCTTGCTAGCCTGAAATTGTTTTTTAGAGTGTTGAGTGAAGCCTAGAAAGTTAATTCTGTCTTAAATGTAATGGTTTTACATACTGTAGAAATAGCTCCCCCTGCTACCAGCATAGTATCTCATAACACTTAGTAGGTAGTATGTGGGGGAAAAACTGGGGTTTTGAATGCTTACAACTATTTGGTATAGAAGAAAATATGCTGATTGTTAAATGAGAGACTGACAAGTTTGGTTGATAAGCCCAGAGTGTTCTTTCAAAATGATACTAAGTGTTTTCAGAGCCCTCAGCTGACTTTCTAACTTTCTGGCTGAGGTCTAGCTCAATTGGAAGTTTTGTGAAGTGACAAGTGTGAACGACTTATTTAATGTAGAGTTCCATTCTTAGAAGTTCAACTGAAGATGTTTCATTTTCTAATTCATAGGGAGAATGATGAATCAGCGAAAGAAGAGAAATCTGACCTAAAAGAAAAGTCTACAGGAAATAAGAAGGCCAATCGATTTCATCCCTATTCAAAAGACAAGAATTCTGGCACTGGGGAAAAGAAAGGTCCAAATCGGAACAGAGTTTTCATTAGCAACATTCCCTATGACATGAAATGGCAAGCTATTAAGGATCTGATGAGAGAAAAAGGTAACAGTTTCTGAAGTAGCCTACTATTGGATAATCTCCATGTAGTAAGGGGGGAAACTAAGCAGACGTTTTTATTCCTCTTAGCCACACAGACTCAAAAAATGACTTTTATTTCTTGCCGTGAATTAATCTTTTCCTTTTCTTCCACTTGGCAATTTCATTACAAGGTAGTATGGATAAATGAAGTATTTTTCTTTTTGCCATTTTAGTGGGTAGTAGCGAAGCCAGCATTTGCATGCCACCAAGAATTTTGTTAAAGTGATTGCTTTGTCTAGTTGAAGTTTTTATCGATTTTAAAGGACTATTGCATTAGTTAAGCAATGCATTTAGTGTGTTAATGTATGTATAATAAGGTCTGATTTTTTTTCCAAAAGCTGTTTTGGTGGAGTCTGGAATCTGGCTGTGGAATTCATTTTGTTTGCATTGTCACGACTGCCATGCTGCCGTCTTTGCAGTTCTGTACTAAACTGTGTCACTGCTGCTGCAGCTTTGTTTTCAGAATGACCTGAAAACCTTCATCTTACACATATGGTTGGTTTTGGGGAAAAATAATTTTAATACTTGATCTTGTAAAAGTTAGTTCTGTTATCTCTTGAAAAATTGGTTTCAACAGTCCTGCAAACTATGTACTTGGCTTTGAGGGTGATCTTCTCTAATACATTTTTTAAAAATTGCATTGGTGTATCTGTTGTAAGGTGACAACTATTTGATTGGTTTTATTCATTGACTTTATTTAGAAGTGTGTGGCTTGCTGTGAAGCATGACTTGTAAATTTAGTTTACTGATGGCAAACATGATTGAAGACATTCAGGTAGAAAGTCACCTTAAAACAGCTGTTGTGTGTAGGCTGACCAAAGTTATGTGAAAAGTGCTAATGTTGTTAATATGACAGGCTGAGGACCATTTGTATGTATATGTGTATTTGTTCACCAACATGCTGGCCAAAATATGATCTGCAGTATGAATTGGGTTAATATGGTTGTTAGTTTTTTTAGAGAATGTGGATGATGTATATTTCTGAAAATTAGTTAAATTTATATAGCTATTGATAGGAGGTATGTTGATCTGGTTTTGATTGTTGGTGAATAATAGGTGCTTTTCTGTAGAGTTGTGCACAGGTGTGCAGTAAAGCAAGATACTAGTGTTTAAATGTATTGTTTCTTGGTATCTTCCTTTTGTATGTCTTATGTAGTTGGTGAGGTTACATACGTGGAGCTCTTTAAGGATGCGGAAGGAAAATCAAGGGTAAGTGCTGTGGGCAATAATCTGCTTGAGGTTTAAAAGTTCCTGAGCAGTTTACTTTTTGTATAATACTTGTATCAGATTTTTGGAAACTTAAGTTTCATTTTGTTTTACTTTATTATGTAAGACTTGAGGTTTTATACTAGCAAGTATGGCACATACCAACCAAACCAGCTACCTGGACGGGATGGGTCTTGCAAATGCTCATAGAGGGCATTCATTTTTCTAATGCTGTAAGGTAATGCTCTTTCTTAGCCAATAAAATTTTAATACAGGATTTTTTTTGTTGTATTTGATGTCTTTAGGGATATTTTTAAAACTCACCAAATTGATAATATTCCCTAGGAGTTTTATGAGAGGCCTATGGCTTAAGGGTGTTAGTTTAGAATATAATTCTGAAACTTTTATTGGAAAGTTTTATTTAGTAGCCTGCAGGACTACACAAGAGGCAGTGCTCTAACCAATTGGTATGAATGATATTGATGATTAAATTGACATAGAAGGTTGATAATAGAATTTGATTTTTAGCAACAAGAGTACTGTACATATATTGAAGAATACAGTGGAAAGCTCCTAAGAGTGTCTTATTATATTCACAAAAACTGGTTGGGTACATGAAAAATGAAAACTGTTCTCACATTCAAATGGCACTTTGAATAGTAATCACAAGGAATTATTTTTAAAAATGATTTCTGTAAGTATATTTAACATAGGTGATTTATTTTACATGCTTTTAACTAGATGCCTCTAAAGTGTGTGTAGCCAGCTTTAAACCAATAGAGAACTTTATTAAAAATACAGTTGTTTATTTGCTATCTTGATTAGGTTTGAAAATATATTGTGCACAATATATCTTTTGAAAAATATTTGTAACTATGTAAGGACAGGTATTTTGGAGCCTTCAGTTTCTTCCCTAATTTATTGTTGACTGAATTTGTACAGCAATACTAATTTTAATTTTAAGAAAATTCATCTGGAAGTAAAGTGTGCTCCAAGCTTGTTATATGCTAGACATATTAGAAAATTGATTTTAAAAAAATGCATGGTCACTTGCCCATTATATTCTGAGGTATAAAACACAACAACAACAAAATTGTGTTCTTGATTACTATTCATGACTTAAATATTAGAGTCTACTACTAACTTCATCTACTGATCTAAAATATTTTTTCTTTTGCATATATTGGCAATCTATCCTGGATATAGGGTTGTGGGTAAGAATTTTTTTTAAAGTATCTTAAGTCAAATTTAACTTGTGATTGGAAAAATATTCTCTGAGCATAAACATTTCTTATACGTTTTCCCCTATTAAGTGTGGTTGAATTCAAAGATGAAGAATTTGTAAAGAAAGCACTAGAAACTATGAACAAATATGATCTTAGTGGAAGGCCTCTGAACATTAAAGAGGTAAGAGTTCTTGCATTTGGAATTTAAGTGTTTAGCTATATGGGCTTGCTTTCTTTAGCTTTTCATTTTTGTTCATTTAGTTGTTTAACAACTTTTTTTTTTAAAAAAAGCATAGATGCCTATTAAAGAATTGTATACTAGTGGTAGTTTTATTTTAGATGATTTTCTATTAATCCTCAAGTAGTTACTCTTTATAGTTAATTGACTTCTAGGACAGGGGTCCTAATTAAAAAAAAAAATTAAGGACCCATAAATCTAAAAATGACAAACTTATTTGGTATACACATTTTCATTTTTTAGATTGTATTTAGAAAAGTT